GCATTAGAAAAAACAGAACCATGTTTACTTGGCCAATAACAGAACAGAACCATGTTTAATTGGTCAATAACAGAACAGAACCATGCTTCCTTAGTCAAAAACAAACAAGAAAATGCAAAATTAACTTCATCAACACAGCATCTCAAAGGAAATTCGGCTAGAATTTAAAAGAAGACTCTTGTTGCTGGATTTGTTCTTCAACTTTAAAAACGTCCAAGTGAAGCTTCTTCATTATTCTTCTTCACCATTTCCCTTGCTTGCTGCATCTGTCTTGCTTGTGCTTGTAGTTGCTTTGTAGTAATGAATTGGTAACCAGTTCCAACTCTCTCTAAACTGCCCTCTCCCTGAATCAATATTAAGATTTGTAAAATGGTTTGACTCCAAAGAAAAACAACAAAAATTGAGAGCAACCGTGTGAATGGTATGTGTGAACAGTATCTGGTATCACATGAAAAAAAAAAAAAAAAGTAGAAACCATGTAAATAGTACGCGTGAACAGTACCCGTGAACAGTATTGACCAAGAACAATTAAACATAAAAACAAACTAGAATTAAAATGCAACAAAAAAACTTGAAATAACTGAACTAATTCAGTTTCATGACATCTTGAAATCTACATTTCTTCAAAAATACCAGTAGAATATTGCATAATATACAACAATATTTATAAATTAATAGTTAACATTAATGCTTTATTTATAAACTACCTTTTGCTTTTGCCTTTTTGCTGGGGTCTTGGCATTTTTTTTTGGATGCTGGATAGGAGTTTGAGTATCCCCTTCACTTGGGACAAGAGTTGCTTCACTTGATAACGTACCATCAAGAGGAGGGGTTTGAGCAACTTTTGAAGACGACGACCTTCTAATGGGGAGCTTGACTCTCTTATTGGGTTGCTGGACTTGAGCAAGTTGTTGGACAGGAGTGAGTTGCTGGACAAGTTGCTGGATAAGAGTAGGTTGCTGGATAGGAGTCGGTTGCTGGATAGGTTGCTCGACAGGTTGCTGGATAGTAGCAGAATTTGGAACCTGTTCTTCATTGCCATTTACATTTTGAGGGGCCTGCATCAAAATTGAAAAAACATTATTACAACCTCAATAACATAATAATAATAATAAAAAAAAGCAAATTATGTATGTAGCCAATAATCACTCACAGTTGTGGGTCCTTGTTCTTTACATGATCTTGAATTATGGCCCTTTTTGAAACACTTTTGACAAGTCATCAATCTCCCTTTTTTACTCAATTTGGTCTGACCTTCTCATTCTTCCAAAACTCTCTTCTTTTTTGGTCTTCCCAGCATCTTTCTTGTCAATGGTGGTTGAATAGGGGGCATTCCAGTTTTTTTCCATTGACTCATTCCTTCAATGGTAGGAACTTCAAACTGATAAGAGGCTAAGAATGCCTCCTTTTTATAACAATCGGCTACATAGTCTTCCACCTTTTGCTTGGTGGCATTAATAATAGTAACAGCATGCTTGCATGGAATTCCTGTGAGATCCCAAGACCTGCAAGTACATTTTCTGCTCTCCAAGTCAACCACAAAACCATTTGTTCCATCTTCCATTACTTCATAGTTATTTCCATCAGGCCAAATTAATCTGAACCTCTTGCTTCCATGGACATTAGCTACAATTTTTTCCCATATTCTAGGACCGAAATCATCAACAAACTTGGACTCAACAAATCCTCTTCTTGCAACAGTCCTTTTTCCACAAAATATCCTCAAATCTTGATTCATTGAAATTATGGCTTTTTGTCTTGCATCCACTAATAAACCATTGAAGACTTCACACATATTATTATCAACAATATCACACTTTATATCTGTTTTGAAGAAGGCCCTGCACCAGTGTTTTGGATCTGACTCTAATAAGTCATTCCTTGCTGAAGCTTTTAATTTGGTTAACTTATCCAAAGCTTTGTTGAATTCAGCAATGATATATGATTTCAAACACTTCCAAAAAGCAATTTGTAATGCTTTGCCTTTGTTTTTCTTCCTGAAATTGCAGTATTTATGCCTAGCACAAAATCTATGTTCAGCATAAGGGAAAATCTCCTTAACTGCTTGAATAAGTCCCTGTTAAATTGGTACAAGTTAGCACAAAAGATAAACAAAGCAAAATTGGAAAAAATATGTAATGAAAAGCAAAATGACACCTTTTGTTGGTCTGACATAATGCAGAATTTTGTTCCATCTCCCATTAGCAAATCCTTTTGTAATTCTTCAAAAAACCATAACCATGTTTCTGTTTTTTCAACCTCGACAACTGCCCATGCGATTGGAAACATTTGGTTGTTTGCATCTCTTCCAATTGCAGTCAACAATTCTCCTTTGTGAGCACCTTTAAGAAAGGCACCATCAACACCAATGATACGCCTGCAGCCAGCAAGAAACCCCTTCTTCAAAGCACTAAAACATACATACAATCTCATAAAAGTGGGGTTAACATCTGTTGTGGGTCTATGAGCATGGAGAACAATGTTTGCTTCTGGATCTTTTGACCTCAGTTCATTAGCATAGTCAAATAGCATGCCATATTCAGCCTTGGAAGCGCCTTCAAACAACCTTTTCAACTGCTGCTTTGTTTTCTTACATTGCACCGAAGTTAGCTCAATATTCTTCTCATTCCAAATAGCTTGAAAGATGCTATCATAATTCATATACAAACAACTTGCTCCTCTAGAATTAACTAAATGCTTAGCTGCATGGCGTGAAGTATATCTCTTGTTCACAACACCCCAATTGCATGTATGCTCTTGTTGGAAAGTTTTTACCATCCAAGAGTCTAATGGGCTGTCCTTTGCCAACAAAATCTTCCATCTGCACCCTTTTTTCTTAGCTTCATTGCATATTGCCCTCAACCTAACCTTGTCATTTTTCACCCATTTAATTTGTCTACCTTCTTTAAAACTCAACTCATCAACAGCTCTTTTAAATTGTTCCTTGCTAATAAAAATCATCCCAAGACCTATCATAGGCCAATCTTCATGTTCCTTGAATACCAGATGTATAGCCTTTCTTCTTCTACCATGTTCAACTTCACTGTCATCCTCATCACTTGTTGTAATATAGCTAACATCATCATCTGATTGGATTGCTCCATCATCAATTTCTGCTACTGCATCAATATGTCCTGTACAAACAAACCAAAATAAATTAGACACAATAGATATTAAAGGCAATAAATAATAAATTACAAGAAGAAATAAACAAACCTGCACCAATAACAATACTAGAAGATCCCACTTCCACGATAGATTCTGATTGCTCATTCTCAGTGCTGGGTTTACCTTGAGAAGCTATGAAGTTTCTCAAAATTGTCCTAGCTTCAATGGTCTCCTCATCTTCATTATCCGACAAATCAGGAACATCTAGCACTAGTTCTACCATACCACTGTCTACAATGACAATATTTAAGTCTTCAATTCCAACTTCATTGTGGACCCCACCAGCACCTCCTCCATCGTTAAATATGTCATTTTCTTCTTCTTCATTGCTCCAACTTCCACCAACCTCATTTACTACTTCATCTACATTATTCGAATGCCTAGTAACCTTTGTAAAAAATAATAATAATAATAATAACACAATAGAATAAAGATAACATCAATATTCAATTAAATAATGCACGAATCTAAGCATATAGAAACAAATAAGTGGGACCAAATGTTGTCTCCACATTTCCACACAAACCCGACAATTCCAACCCCTATTCCACATCATACTGACATAAAAAAGCCAAACAAAAGTTACATTATTCAAAAGATTCGCATAATCAAAAGGTAGAACATACCTGATCCTCGATTTCCTCCTCTTCCTGATCTCTGATTTCTGGTCCCTCACGGTTCTTTTCTCCACTTTTGGAGGACGGGTCCATGTATACAATCTGATCTAATTATAAAAAGTGATAAATTCTATC